CACTAAAAACAAACTGAAAATAAATTGCAAAAACTGTGAGTGGTAAACTGGACAAAAAGCTTTTGTTGCCGTTACTCTTTTCTTATTATTCATAATGTTTTCCTATTCAGCCATGGTTTCGATGGCACAATATCTGTACCACAGATTGTTTATATATATATATATATATATATATATATATATATATATATATATATATATATATATATATATATATATATATATAACCAAGGATCTGAGACATAATAGAGCTGTTTGAGGACCTCATTTCACCATTGTAAAACCATGCCGGGATGTGCTAGATAATCTCTTAAGATAGGCGACTCGTAGTGTGATCTACGTAGCTTGCACGAGAACTGACATACTAGCATTGAACTAGTTAACAAGAGCAATCGGTCTTTCAGAGATTGTGTAAACAATAGATCGTATTATACCATTCGCAAGAGCGTCGTGAAGTAAGTTTTTTCAACGGTAACAATCATACGTCGACATAGATCAGCGACAGAATCGCCCTTTAATAGTAAACGTATGAAAAGCCCTTCCTTGGGAGCAATGCTGATAAGTAGCTTTTGTTTGCGTTCCCTCAAATGCTTCATGATACATTTGTTGGGGTAACCATTTTATCTCAAGGCGTCGCTGATATTCTGTAGTTCTCCGTGGACAATATCCGGTATGAAAATGATGCGCGCCCTGAAGGTGAGAGAACAGATTAAACTCCCAGTATGATATAAAGATATTGCGTTGTGGAAGTTGGTTTACTGCCCAGTCTACGTTGGATTCTTGTGTACTTTCTACTACAAGATCCGCCCGAGTTACGGATAACTTCTACAACCAGAAAAGAAAAGCGGCTGCTGAACTTGTGATCGCAGGTGACGTGGAAACTCTCATGAGCATCATTAAAGGATTTTTACAATTGTACTGCATGTTTTTCGCATTCGCAAAGTACGAAGGCGTCGTCAACATATCGTACATACATTGTGATCCCACATATCCATCGCGAAGATACTGGACATTAACGCAGCGCAATGAATTGTTGGGTTCAGCAATCCACTGAGCTATATTGGGTGGTGCTTTGAGCACCCTCAGAGTCACCCAGAGCGCAATGGTCAAGCGTCAGAGGCAAGAGGCTGAGACAAACTCAGCATCCTCGTTCTCCAGGCTGAAGATGGAGTGAGGCTGACTCCATACTCCATAAAACAGACTGTAGCCCAGTAGCAAAACCGCTACCATGCGACCAAGTTTTTGAAGCAAAGGATTTGGTTGGGAACCCTATTCGTTCCCCTGTCTAGACTGGAAATCTGACAGTATCCTGCGCAAGCAATTTAAGGAACCTCACTTCAAACAATGGTTAGCTGCTCTGGCCGTCTCATTCGATAATCAACTGCGTCTTACTGCCGTATCAAGTGGGGTGGATAGAGGCGAGGATGCCACTGCTCAAGCCTTCCCTTTATCTTATACCCCGATAGGGATCTTCCAATTTTATCGTCCCTTGCAATTTCACATTAATCCATCCGGTTTTTAACCACCTAATTCTTAGTCCACTCACATCATGCTTCAAAAGTCGCTTGACTACTAGTTTAGACTCATAAGCAAGTGCACAGCGTCGCCCCAGTCGTCAAAAAGTCCATGTTCAAACAAATGGACAACGTCAGTTCGTCCGTCTCTATTTGAAGCCCCAATCCTTGCCAGAACTAATAGGCCACAATGTGCGCACTGTTGCCGATTGGTTGACAGAAAACACTTCCCGAACACTAGAGATTCTATCGATTGATATCTGTTGCTAATCTGAAACCCGGTAGGAAGACTCGAGCTCTGTGCTTACCATGCAATCATTCACATGCCCAGTAGCGGCACAGTCCCTTTGCGCGTGTCCGGAGATGATTTAGCTACAAATGCCGGTCAACCCGATGTGGGTATTGCTTAGACCCCCTGGGCGGAAGCTGCCCTGATCGACTGGATCTCGATTAACAGCCGGATGTGCGCCAGATTGGATTGCTCATTTAAATCTTCGAGGGCGCAAGAAGACAAACGGTGCCTGGTTGTCTTCGCAGCAAACGCCATTATAAACTGTAGTACTTGGCGTGGGGAAACATAGATTCTACCACTAAGTAAAAGCGAGCCTTCGTTACAGAAGAAGTACGGATACAATGGTTTGTTCAAGTTGAAAACTGTTCACCGAGAAGCTTCATATAGGCGGCCAACACAGTGTAAGCTCCCGTATGGTAATGTTGAGCGGTTGCTACTCTAGTGCTAAGATGCTCTCCTATTTCTCGCGAGCACTAACCGCTGACACAGCATCCGTAAAAGAGTGACTTGGCGCCCACCAGACTCGGAAGAACCATGGAGGTAAAACGACCACATAGTCATCCGTTATCGCTGGAAGCGGTGTCCAAAACTGTCGTTCGACTTGAAGAACACAGGTCGTATATGTGTCAGACGCTCTTAGCAATAGACAAGCTTTTATATGGCAAAACCAACAGGCAACCCGGACACCAGGTCTCTACGCAGTATCTGGAATTCCTCGATGCTTACGGAAGCAATCCGGCCAAAGCGAACATAACAAGATTAGCAAACATCACAGGACAAAATTGAAAGCTAGCTTGAGAAGAGACAGCGAATCTAGATGGTCACATCATGCATCGGATATGGAAAGAGTCGCTGCTTATAATGACCATCGGAAGTTATTTCTGCCGATATAGGGCACGGGCAGTAGCAGATCTGATGCCAGCGAGATTATTTGCGACGAGAGTGGACAGCCAATCCACAACTTGTCAAAACATTTGTGGCCTTGGGTCGAACACTGTAAAAAGCATTTCAATCATCCGGTGTTACAATCTTCCCTAGTAGTCATTGATCATTCTTCTCACTTGGCTATCCCCCTGGATCCGCCCTCACGCACAGAAGTCGAACGTGAAATCAGACTCATGAAATTGAATAAACCCGCTGGAGCAGATGGACTTCCTCCAGCCATCCTCACACTCGGATGACAAGCTCTCGTGGATGATTTGCACAATTTACCAGTGAAGGTGGGGAGCAGGAGACTGTCCCAACAGACTGGAGCCACCTTTGTGCGAATGTCAGCTGTTCGTGGCGATACGTTGTTGACAAGGTGTAGGCACGTAGATCTTGAAGGCTTGCTTAGGGCACTAAGGTTTTGTGCAAGGTCCCTCTTCTCTTCCTGTTATTATTCTTCGTTCCTTAGGTCACCGTGATTGTCCGGCAGCGATGCATCAGTCAGAATGGCCGATGTAATGATGATGATGGTGTAGAAGCGTCGTTATGGTTCCTATATTGAAGGGAAGCCCACGCACGGAATGTGGAGGTCATAGAGATAGTCTGATCTCCATTGCCCCTGTCATTCTGCACAGACTGAATAGCACACGTAAAAGACAAATTTGTGAGAACAAGCCGGGCTGTTTTGAGTATTCCTTCAAATTAGGACAGTTATTGGTATACCGCCAGATTGTTGGCGACACACCCTAGCAGCGTTTCTCGACATCAAAGGTGTCTTCGATTCAATGGATCGATGGGCCCTGTTCTAGAAAGGGGTGCCCAACTAATATGTACATATTACCCGAACATTTTACGCGCGTGAGTGCTTATGGCAAACTGTCGCCACCCTTCAATATCTATCGCGGTGCGACAAGGCTAACTGCTATCGACCATTTTTAACTCCGCCATTGACGAATTATTGGAAACCGCGTTCATTAGAAACGATATGGAAGGCGTAGAGCTGCTCCCAGGTGGTTGATTTGGATTACGCCGACAACATTACTCTCATCTGTGACAGCCCCCCAAACGCGACAAGCAGCATTGGACAAATTAGCTCTGACCGTCAATCGTTTCGATCTGTGCTTTGCACTCTCGAAATGCGAAGTCCTTCTTCAAGATTGTCAGCACTTACCATCGCGCTAATCCTTAGTCACCGGTTTGGCCGGTGCTCGAAGCTGCTCGTCACCGCATACGCGCAATGAGAAAGTGCTGCTGGAGTCACCTGAAGGGGATCGCAAAGTGGGCACTGAGCTCGAGTCTTGCAGGCGGGTCTCCGATAAGCAGCAGATATCGCTTGAGAGGGTCTTTAATGTTCTGGCAAGTGCTGCCTGTCGACCGATCTGTAGCAATGTGCGTACACTGAGGCATGCCAATCTGAAGAAGGATCGAGGGCTCCAAATGAACTGGACTTGGCCGCTTGCTTGGACATGGGCTTGTCGACAAGACAGGAATGACGCTCCGAGCTAACATGTGAGTTGAAACTAGAAGACAAGCGACTATTGAACCAAGGTGGGTGAGGACCAAGCATTGGAAGGTTGAAAACACGGGGATAAAAGTAAAGTTAGAGTGAGACGCTAAGGGCGAAAAAGCGTAAGAGGGGGAATAAGAAGATGGAAAGGCTTGAGCAGTAGCATCCAAACCCTCATCCACCCTCCTCGATGCAGCAGATAGGGCACCGTTGATTATCCTCTGCGGTGGCTAGAGCATCAAGAAACTGTTTGAAGAGAAATTCATTGTATTGCTGGAGCAGGGTACTGTCAGGTTGCCCAGGCCTAGACAGGAGAACAATTAGGGTTCTCAACGAAAGCCTTTGCTTCAAAAACCTGACCGCATGGCAGCGGGTTTGGTGTTGGGCTACAAGGAGTCCGTTTTAAGGAATAAGGAGCCACCTCATTCCAACCCTTAACCTGGAGGACCAGGAAACTGAGTTTGTCTGGCCTCTAACCATTGACCAATCTGGTGTGAGCGGCTCTGAAGACGTAAAAAAGCACCAGCAAGCATAGCTCAACGGATCGCTGAGGCACACAAACCATCGCACCACGGTAAGGTCCAGCCTCATTGCGATAGAACAGAAAGAGAAAAAGAACAAAAACGAGAAGAAATGGAAGGCCCTGGAGAACTAACCAAAGGGTATGCGGTATTGAGTGTAGAGAAATGAAAATTAAAACCGCCCGTATGAAAAATGGTGCAGTTATACAAAAGCATATTATGTGTAGAAGAACGCTTACCTGCAACTATGCACGGGAGTGTAGAGGGGTTGAGATCAGAGGAACGTGGGGCGTCCTGTGCCGAATTCAATGGAAATAAAATGTCGTCTGGGAAAATACTGTCGCCAGCAGGGGGTATACATGTTTTCAGGTGGAAGTCTACAGAGTTCGAAGCATTCTCATTAAATTTCACGGGGTCAACGTCAGATTCATCTTCCGGACTGACAATGGCGGAAAAAACTTGATCCAAATCTAAGCAGATAGATTCGCCCTCGGTCGGCAGATCAGAGGCCTGAGGGTGATAAGGAGGTTGATGAAATACCTCACGCAATTGATGGGTATGAGATAGATCATACAGGATCTCTTTTGGAGCTGACGAAGGTGAAGCTGAATTAGAATGTTGGTAGTTAGATGTAGGTATGTACAATGAATCCTTATGATTCTGGGGGTAAATGGGAACCTGGCTGTGATCGTTGATGTCTAAGTAGTTTTCAGTGCAGTCCAATCCCAATCGGAGCGACTCTGAAAGCTCAGAGGGTGCATGTATCGACATTCCACTAGTTTTAGTGAGACGCTGGAGCTGATGGTATGTAACATGTTCACTTGTGGTGGTGGAGTGATCGGGAGTGGAAATTGAACAAGGTGTGGTCACATGATGGCTAGTTCCAATGCTGTCATTCAAGAATTCAGTAGCAGGAGTTAGCGAAGGGTAGTGATATGAGCAATCTGAACCCAGTGCATTAGATGAACTAGTTTCAATAGCACCCTTTGTTATATTCCAAAATTCATGGCCAGAAGGAGAAGCATTCTCGAAGCACAGCAAATCGGAGTGAGAATTCATGTAAGGACTGTAATGGAATGAAGTAGATTTTACGGCACATTAAACGCAAACAGCAGTGATAAGAACAAAAATTGGTTATCTGCCACAATTCGACAAGCTAGCTGGAAATGGGAAATACCTCAGCCACTGTGCGGCAATAAAAGGCATAAGGAAACACGAAAAAAAGAAAATGCAAAGGAATAAACGGTACAAAATGCCGTTTTAGCTGCACATCATCATCACTATACATTTCAGCTAGAGGTGATAAAACACCTCCGCTATTGTACCGCACACAGCTGCACAGGATAATAATAAGCTAGCAAGTCGTCCTAGCACTTCAAAATATCAGCAAAGTGGGAAATTTCTGCTTAACTCTGTTAATCTCAATTGTGCCCCGAGCACCGACTGTTGCTTAGCGTCCTAGCTTTCAAGTCCAGGGGTATCGATCTATTAATGGCATCCTCCGGTAGATGTACAGTGATTGACCCAAATAGGTCCCATCACCATAGGTCAAAAGTGGCGTGCTTCGATCATGAAAACCGCTAAATATAGGATAAGAGCGTCGTCCCTGATCTTGTCGCTGTACCATGCGATTAACTGTGAACTTGATCGGGAAGCGCACCAAAATTACATTTGACTGGCAACTGGGAAGCTATCGCGAAAGTCAACCTAGTAAACCTGTCGGAGGACACTGGCTACAAAGTATGCATCAGAATATACAAAAGACATCGGGCTTTGCTGGGATACCATATCCGCCACAATGCACGAATCTGCGGCTTCCCACCTAGGCATCATTTAGTAGTCGTCAACGCAACGGCCACTGGATAACCGTCACGAGACTTGTCGTTAAGATCGTTCGACTGTTTTTATATCTCTTTGACACAGTGAGCCAAAATGTGTGGTGACCTCGAGGCCCTCGAGAGCTACTCCTACCAGGTTGGTCAATGGTGAGAGGTCAGATAAACAGTCTCTTGGTCCTCCAGGTTAGGGATTTGAAACGGGGTAGCACCTATATCTGTAAAACTAAATCATTGCCACCTTTACCCTGCCTTACGGATAGGTTTTTGAGCCAAAGGTTTTGGTTGAGGAACCTAATCGTCCGCTGGTCTAGGTCTGGGCACCCTGGCAGTACTTACGCCCACGTACAACCATGACTATTCCTTCAAGCTTCAACTATATCATGCATCGGCCGTCGCACAGATTATCAAGGGTCGCCTTATCTGCTGCATACAGCAGGGCGGACAAGCGAAAACATGCCACTACTGGTGCCTTCGTCCTATTCCACCTGTTTCTCTTACTCCTCTCCAGACGCCCATCACTAACCTACGTTCTATAATTCCCAGCCTAATTGACAGCAGCCGTAATATCATTGGAGCCAAACCACTTTAGATACCTTTCTGCACCACCCACTGGACGCTTATCGACAACAGTCCATTATAGAGCCTCGCTGTCCCCTTTCCCTGGCGAGGTACAACGTTCGCACTCTAACACAGATAAGTCAACAGGTTGCACTCGCAAGCACATTGAACACCATGGGTATTGAATATATGTTTTGTATCAGAAACGAAGGATCAATGACTTACATGGGGTTACTGAATTAACTGCGCCCGATTTGTCTTCTGGCTATTGGTTGCACGTAGCAGGAGACGATGATGCGGCAATCACTGGTCAAGCTAGGGTAGGTATCGTTTACAGCTCCAAGGCTGTCGTTGTTGGTTGATTGGATTCTTGTGAACAGCCGTTTGCTTGCAACCCGCGTTGCGACTTCAACTAAGGTTGCTTCAAGAAGTAGTACAAGAAGCTGTTTGCTTGTGGTTTCTGCTTATGCTTCCACTGACTGCAGTTCTGATGCTGCCAAGGACACATTCTAGCATGAACTGAACACGCTACTATGCAGTGCTAACAGCTTGGATAGCACAGTACTTGCAAGGGATATAAATGCACAAGTAGATCGCCTGGACTATTCAGAAGCTCAGCTGGGTGGTAATAATGGACGCAACTTCAAACGAGCGGACAACGGTAAGTGTCTGCTGAATCTATGTGCGGAGCAACAGTTGTTTCTTAGTAGCAATGCTTTTAGATACAGTGGACACTGAAGTGCCACTTAACGTCCCCCAATAGCAGACCAGCGATGGACCAAAGGTAGATCATATTACCATAAGTTACAGATGGCGTGGTTCCATCCAGGAGTGTCGCTCGTTGTGGAATGCTCGCGTCAACTCAGATCATGCCCGGGCACTGTTGTTTTTTCATGAACTTTACCATAAAGTGTACTAAGCGTCTCCCTCGATTGGCAACTGAGAAATAATCTCGGGACGCGGTGATGCACTGCGTACAGAACTGTCGCTTTCTTGTCCTAATGACACTGAGCTTCAGTGGAATAAGACCATCGTCGTCAAGCACGACGCTGGAGCTCCTGCTTGTGGTACTACCAGTCATCACCGCACCAGTTACTGGATATCTTAGAGATCGGTGAACATGCTGAAATCCAGAAGAAAACTCTCGGTTGTCTGAGAACAATGTGACCAAACGGACTATTAAGCACGAAGCAAAGTGGAGCCTGCGTGCAGACAGAAGCCTGATGGATTAAGCGGGTGGAAGAAATAAAGGAGGCAGGAGCAGTAGGCAATTATCGCAGGCTCTCCTATTTAATGCGCACCAGCTGTCCCAGGAAAGCAGGCGTCAGTGATAAAAACAGCGACAGCGCGGGTGCTCTGATTACCACCAAGCACAGTATGGCTCATTGGGCTGAGCACCTTCAAGTGCAGCTCAGTTGGCCCTCTGCTCCTGGACCGCTTCCTACTCAGGTGATGCAGCATGTGCCATGCCGTCACGACGGGACTGGTTGTTAACGTCATGTGACGGTTGGCGTACCTCTCTGATCCATTGAATTATAAAGGGTGGTGCCCCGGGGGCCCTAGAGAGTTGATCTTACAAGGTTTGTCTATGGTTAGAAACCAGACAAATACAGTCTCCTGGCACTCCAGGTTTGGGGATTGAAATGATATGTCATTGAGATGAGATGGCGCCCATTCCTATAAAACAAAACCATTGCCATTGCCATTGCGGATGGGTTTTTGAGCTAATGGCTTTGGTTGAGGACCCTAATCGTCCGCAGGTCTAGTTCTGGGCGCCCTAGAAGTAGTCAGTCATTAAACGCGTAGGCTGTTGGTAGAAAACACCTCAGCTATTGTGCCGCAATATAAAAAAAGAAAAAAATCACGCAACAGAGACACGTGCGGTGAGTCACCAGTAACGGATGGACATGCTTTCGGAGAGCTAACAGTCGGCTATCGTGCCACAAAGACAACCGAGGTTATGTCTAGTAAATGAAAGCATGGTTGGAGGGAAAGCTAAAGGGAAGGGGAGGGACACAAAGATTAGTAACACAAACGTCGCTGAGGTCGACTCCTCGTCATGTCGCAAGTGTAGCCAACCACACGTGCTCATTATCTATTGGTCCCAAGGCAGGCAGTTGGGAAATACCAACCGACGGCAGCTTCGATGTGAGGAAGTTCATTCATCTCGACCATGAAAGCACTTGGCCTCTCCTCCTCTTCGTCCATCCACATCCAGGCGCGCAAACAACGAGTCACAGGAGCCGGTGGGCTGGTATGCGCAAAACGGCCCAGCTATCGAAGCCTGGTGCATTAGATAACAGTACAGAGCGGTTCGCTCACATTTCTTGCACCAAATAAGAGAAGCCAAACACGCTCATTGCTTATGCGGTGCTCACACCTCACATAAGCTAAACTTCGAAGGCAGCTAGGCTCATTATGTCTGTATTAAGACACCGATGAGCGCGTCAGAGTCCGCGGTGACTTAGCGGATATGTTTCCGACATCAAGAGATGTCCGTCAGGGTTGTCCGATTCCCCCACTTTTGTTCACTTTGGTCGTGGACTCCATCATGTAGTGTTCCCTTGCAGAATTGCACAATGCAGGCGTTGGGATGCTGCCTGGTGAAAGGCTAGTTATCTTGAGTATGCGGACGATATCGTCTTGTTGTTTAACGATGTTGGGGCGGTGCAATCAACTCCGAATAACGACTCTAGACTGGTCCCATCATTTGGCATGCGCTTCGCAGCCTCAAAGTGCAAATTTTGGCTGCAAGGCCACTAGTCACCTGATGATCCCTTGAGACTTAATAGCGAGAAACTCGAGGTATTTGATCCCTTCACTTACCTGTCGGCCCGTAGTCTAGAGATAAATTTGTCTTGTAATCTTGCTAGTGAATTAACTTTTTTCTGCTGCATAGTAGCCGGCAGGTAGCTTACCGGAACGATGCACATCCGTTACCGGTAGCTCAGCTGACTTGCAGCTGTTGCATTTTATTCCCTTTTTCTTCTAGGTATTACGGCACAGTAGCTGAGGTGTTTCCCACCTCTAGGTAACGTGTAAAGTGTGTGTGTGCTTGTAATCTTGCGGCGCGGGTTCAAATCTGAGTAGCGGTGGGCGTCCCATAGGTATACTCCGCCAGTGTGCGACTGGTGGTCGCACAACAACGAAGCGCCGTTACGGCGTACAGCTGACCAGTTATAACACTACTATTATTTATTCACTTACTTTGGCAGCAACAACGGGTGCATAGCAACTGAAGGCAGTTCAAGCATTACAAAATCCAAAACTGTCTTCTTGAACCTGCAACACTTTTGGTGAAAGAAAGGGGTTTCTCTCTGTTTGAAAGATCGTGTTTACAAGGCCACAGTGAGGACCGTGCTACAATATGGGTGTGAGACTTAACTACTTCGGTCTGAAAATCTAAGGCTCCTTCAAGTCGTTGACTATCGCTGTCTGCGGAGCATTGCTGGTGTCAGGTGGCACCAGCGTATCCACGATGATGTGCGTAGGCGAGTGATAGGCAATGATACCCAAGTTGGCTAGGGCAGTACTAAGTATGCCCAGTCACCGCGTACCGAGAAGAATTGCTAACGTGTATAATAAATGAATACACGACCTCCGCGCTCTCCGTTTATAAGGCACTCTGGGGTTTTGAAAAGTTATAACGAAGCCCCCGGTTTACACCACA